GAAGGTCTGCCTAGGAAATTTCTTCCCCAGGATTTGGTTCAATATGCTCAGCCTCTCCGGCACTCAGTCCTCTCCATCCATGATACAAAAAAGCCTGGTCACTTCTTGTGTGTGCAGCAGACGTTGGCATCATCCACATGGTGCTGGCTTTATGAACATGCAGAATACAGGAGTTACAGGGTCATGGAGGTTTCTACCCCAATTTCAGAAAAAGGCCTGAGATGCCCAGCAATATGCCCCTGAGAGGGCAGTACATGAAGCTGTAAAAGTGAAGCCAAAAGTGCCGAGGAGACCCCAGTAAGTTGGAGATGTCTGGGGAAAACTGAAAGCGTTGAGTAAAGCCAGCCCAAGAGAAAATCCATAAGGAATAAACCCACCATCAATGGTATGGATGCTGTAGGGGTGGAGCTACCCAAGCCTTTTGGAGGGTCTTTTTTTCTTTTCTTTGAGACAGTGTCTCATTATGTACAGTAGTTCAGCCTGGCCTTAAACTCTGTAGCCTAGACTAACCTTAACTCACGGTGATCCTCTCTAGTGCTGGTGTGTGCCACCATGTCTGGCTGCCTTAAGGAGTTTATATCTCATCACATTTTGTACCAGGTGCTGGACCTGAAACTGTAGTATTTAATTTTTACCCTGCTGTGTATTGGTCTTTCTTTGGTCCTATCTCCCTTTTTTCCTTTTTGGAATGGGAATGTTTATCCTATGCCATTGTATGTAGACAGAGTTTAACTCCTTTTTTATTTTACAGGGTCTCACAGCTAAGAGTTTGGTTTGAGTCTCGGAGGAGACTTTGAATTTGGACTTCCAACAATGCTGAAACTGTTAAGACTTTGGCAACTCCTTTTTTTTTTTTTTTTTTTTTTTTTTTTTTGGTACTGGGGATTAAACTCAGGACCTTGAGCTTGTGAGGCAGGCGGCAGCACCACTGAGCTAAATCCCCAGCCCAGACTTTGGCAACTCTTAAAGATGGACTAAATGCATTTTGCATAGCGAGATGGGCATGAGTCATAATGAGATGGGCAAGAGTGGAGTGTTATGATTTATATTTAAATGTCCCCCAAGAGCCTCATAGAAAGGTGACTAGATTATGGGAGTAGCATAGCTGGCTTGTGATTAAGAGGTAGGGCACGGTTGAAAGAAGTGAGTCACTGACAGCGTGGCTTGAAAGAGTGTATTTCCTATCCCAGTTCTTCATACACTGTGCTTCCTCTTGCCCTGCCTTGAGCAGCCTCTGCTATGCCACCCTGCCTTGGAGCCAGCTGACTGTGGATTAAAATCTCTACAAATTATGAGCCAGGCGTGGTGGCACATGCCTGTAATCCCAGCACTTGGGAGGCTGAGGCAGGAGGATCGCTGTGAGTTCAACACCAGCCTGGGCTACATAGTGAGTTCCAGGTCAGTCTCAAGTACATAGTGAGACCCTGTCTCAAAAACCAAAAAAAAACCCTAAAACAAAAAAACCTTCTACAAATTATGAGCCAAAATAAACCTTTCCTTTTTTAAACTGTGGTTGTCAGATATGTCCTGGCAGGAAGATAGTAAGATATTAACAAATTATCCTATACAAGGCATAATCAAAAAAAAGTAGAAATGGGGCCAGGGATTTAACTCAGTGGTTCCTTTGCCTGCCTCGCAAGCACAGGGCCCTAGGTTCGATCCCCAGTATCAAAAAATAAAAAATAGGCTGGGGATTTAGCTCAGCGGTTTGGTGGCCTGCCTTGCAAGCGCAAGGACCTGAGTTCAATCCCTGGAACCGGAAAAAAAAAAAACTTATTTCTCTAAAAAATAAAAAATTATCATCAACATGAAACTGGAAGCTCAGAAATTAAAGGACTTAGTCACAGAGATAATGACATGAGAGGGTAAACTAAATTCTGTTTTTTAAATTTTTTATATTACTGAGACTTGAACACAGGGTATTTCTTCCGCCCTAGTGCTGGGGATTGAACCCAAGGCCTTTGCACTGAGTTATATCTCTATCCTATTTAATTTTTTGAGATAGTCTCATTAAGTCACTAAATTGCCCAGACTTCACTGGAACTTGTGATTTTCTTTTCTCAGCCTCCCAGAGTGCGTGCATTATAGTCATATGCCACCAGTATCCTCTGTGTTTTTACTTTGTAACAACGTTCTCCTGAGAACCCATGTTTGACCATATGATGGTACTTACCAATGAAGGTCATTGAACTGGGAAGGCAGTGTTCTATGAATAGGCTCAGTGGTTTTTAACTGGGAAAATTTTGCCCCTAGAGGGGAAAATCACCCATCTTTGTGTAACTTTTAATGTTGTTTTCTTGTATGTAAATAGATGTGATAAAAGGGAATTAATGGAAAGAGGATAGACATTATAAAGTAAATATGAAAAAAAATGTTCAATGTAAAAGCTAAAAACAAAGCTAGTGGTGGGTACATGGAAGATTCATTCTACAGTTCTATTTTTATGTAGCATTGATATTATTGGGAGACATTTTTATGTTTTGTATTTTACAACTGGGGGTGTGTGTGCTATACACATCTAATGGGTGAAGTCCAGAGCTGCTGCTAAGCACATCTTACAGTGCATAGAATAATCCCTACAACACAGACTGATCCAGCCCTAAATGTCAGTAGTGCCAAAGTGAAGGAACTGTCTAGTACAACTTATCTCTCAAAGCTTTATTTACTCAGCAGATACTGCTGTTGGAGTTCATAGCATCAATGAAAAGTGAGCATTTAAAATTTTTTTAAATTAAGATTATTTTGTGGTGGGGGGGATTAAACCCAAGACCTCACACATAGTAGTAGGCAAGCTCTATGCTATTGAGCTTATTTTATTTTATTGTTTTATCTTACTTTGAAAAAGGGTCTCATTGTTTTGGCCATGCTGGCTTCACACTTGTAATCCTCCTGTCTCAACCTCCCAAGTAACTGAGATAACAAGCATGTACCACTGTGCCTGGCAAAGTAGGATTTTTTTTTTTTTCTTTGTACCAGGGATTGAAGCCAGGGCATAGGGCTTGCTGGGCAGGTACTGCACCACTGATCTCCATATCTCCATCCCCAGCCCTAGACCATTCTTGCTTATATTTTTCAATTTTTATTTTTTTTATTTTTTTTATTTTTTGGTACCAGGGCTCGAACTCGGGTCCTTGCGCTTGTGAAGCAGGCCACAGAACCGCTGAGCTAAATCCCCAGCCCTATTTTTTAATTTTTAAATTGATTGATTACAAAAATATGGAAGGGAGATATTTTATCAAGATCCTCCTTTGGAATAGTATTAAGGAACAATGTTAACAGCCAATTTAAAAATCAATTAAAAAATATTTTTTTTTGTACCAGGGATCAAACTCAGGTCCTTGCACTTGCTAGGTAGGTGCTGGAACCACTGAGGCCAAATCCCTGGCCCAGCAGATTGTCTTTTTAAGAAAACATTAAAGATGTTGGACTTTGATTAAATATATGCATGCTGGGGCCAGTGGGTTTAGCTTAGTAGTTCTGCTGCCTGCCTCACAAAAGCAAGGATCAGAGTTAGATCCTCCCGTACCCCAAAAAAAAAAAAAAAAAAAAAAAAGGAACTGATACCTACAACTTTGCATGAAAGTGTAAGAGGAATCAGTGAGGGCTGAGATGTAGCTCATTGGTTGAGTGCTCACCCAGCATGTGTGAGGTGCTGGGTAGCACTACCCAGCACTGAAAAAAAAAAGAAAAAAAAAGGTATTCATGAATGGAAGCAGGGAAAACAGACTTGTGATAAAGTAAATATGATAAAATGTTAATTGTAAAATCAAGCCAGGGATGTAGCTCAGCAGTGCAGAGCCTGCCTATCAAGCACGATGCCCTGAGTTCCATTCCCAGTAAAAGGGAAAAAAAAAAAAAAAAAAAACG